TTCGTGCTCATCATTTGTAGAATAGCGACAAGTAATGTTTGGCAGTGATTCTGTCGCCCAATTGAATAGTTCTCGTGGCGTTCGAATGGGATTGTTTATCCTCTGAAGACTCGCTCTGGAGGCTAGTCGTTTTAAAGTTCCACCTATCCCGTCACAGGGTCCTTTACCATGTGAAGTGGGAAAAAAATGCCACTCTGCAGCTATTTTGAAGTCTTCCATGTGATACGTAAGATTAATAAAGTTCTTCCTATTTTTATATTGTCCACTTGCTCCATCGGACATATATATTATTTTTTGTACACCTGGCAAATTACTTTTGATGAATTCAATCAGTTGTCTTTGGTAGAGATGAACGGCAACAGTATCATGATTTAAGCATTCAGAAATGCAAACAAAACTTATTATTTTTAATTCATCTCGATCATTTTTATAAAAAATTGAGAATGGGTGTACAGTGGCTTGGTCGTTATTCCAGTGTATACCCTGAATAGAATTTTGAATTATGAAGGCATAATTTTCTGAAAAATCGCAAATTACGATGCACTCATTTTTCATTAGTTTACTTTTTTTGTCATTCAAAAAATCCCTTTGTTGACTAACTATAAATGAATGGACCAATAGTTTTTCCAAGCCGTTACTTAACATTTGCAAAAATTCATCTACTGGCGATATGAGGGTTTGTAATGAAGTTCTTTCAGTCGTAACCCATTGCTTGTATGTAATGCTTTCAATACATTTATCATCAAAATTTTCTTCTAGTTGATTAATAATATTGGACACGCCAGGGCACTTGTCACAAGAATTTAAATAATATTCAGTAGATTTTTCTTCGCACACCATACGATTCAAACAATCCTTATAATCTTTTAATGGCTGCTGAGAGCCGTCTGTAATTGCTTTTAAATTTGCACCAGTTATTAGTAAATTAACGTTTTCATGTATAGGACATACACAAACCGAATGGGTGCCGGAAGCTCCTGCCAGAACGCAGTATTTTGGTCGTAAGCTAGTAAATTTTGAAAAACTACATTTCATAGTTGGATATTTACATGTAAACACTTCATACAGCTCCTTCAAATTATTTAAAATAAGTCGTTTTTGCATTTGCACCTTACTACCATTCATTTTTATTTAGATATAATCTTTTTTGCCTGGCATTAACTGAGTACAATCATCAGACTGGTAGATGCTAATTATGGTGCTTACAACCTGTGGTTTTAGAGATGGATGATGCTTGGGACTTGGGTCGCTTAATATGCCTTTGTCTTTAGCAATATTTTTTGCTACACGAAATATACACATGGTGCGTTTCTCTTTTATCTGAGGCTCCTATAGTTTACTGTGATGGAAAATGGGAGAGTATGTGCGTGTACATGAGTATGTATCTGTGAGTAAGTATTTATTCGTGTAAATGGGTGCGAGCGGCGCGCACGCAGCAGGCACACAGTGCGGCCGAACATTTCTACTTGCCAAAAATTACCAGTAAAACCACTTAAGTCTTTATCACCTCATATCATTGTATATACAATCGAATTATTAACAGCTCCATCTGTACATAACGAGAAACAAGAGCCGGAAACTTTGAACAGTTCCTCTGCCTCAGAGTCAGAAGCAGACGTAGATGTGGATTCCTACGAAACCAATTTTTTATTATAACATAATTGACCTACGAATTATTTGTAATTCAAAATTTTTTGTATATTTTTATGCTCAATAGAAATAAAGATTGTTATATAACAATATTCAAAAATATTTCTTTCCTTATAATATAAAAACTCAAACCATAAATTTACTGGAGTAAGGCCTAGTTTGGTCAGACATGCCCAAGCCCGAGGTCGCGGAAAAATCCCTAGCATTTCAGCAGACGAGTGCATTCAAATGGTTTTGCAGATTGCTATTGACGTTGCGTCTGGACGCATCCTTAGAATATAAACAACAGAGATTTGATCAGGTGTTATTTTTTACTGAAAACACATACATCAGGTGCGTATTTTGAGTATATGGTTCTATTTTAAAGTAATTTAGCTTAGTGATTTAAAGACACTTGCAATATTACATCCAAATGTTTAGACAAGCTTTGTTAAATTATAATACTAATTGTTGCTTCACGTTACAGATGCCTTCTTAAAAATCAATTTGAATGATGCATTTACTCTGGTAAGCCATGTGACTTGGGTTAATTTTCCAACTCACATTGATTTGATGCACTTGTCAAAAGTGCCCTAGGCATTAGAATGGATGCTGGTTTACTGCCAGAAGGTGTTCATTACACAAGGTAAGAACGTCGATATTGTATAAACAATTAAAGTTGAAGCAATTATTAAATCAATTATCTTCTTTCATTTACAGTATTCGAGCTTGCTATAAAACAAATGTAGATAAGGGATCTGTTTATCGCATACTTATCACTGCAGTACAGCCAGCAACAGTTCCTAACAATTTATCCCTTCCAGATCTCATCTTTAAAAATGCCTAATTCAAACCAAATACTGTCCAGCATCAGCAGTGGTTATTGTGGTAGCAAGCTCGACATGAGAGAAGTTTGAGCGATGGCAGACCTGAGCTGCCTGACGTGTTGACTGTCATAAGAAGGCAGAGAAGTCAATTGGAGAGTGCTGCTACGGACTGTTAGTCTTGAAGACTGTATTTGCCTGACAAAGGTGACACTCCTAGTCATATACCTAGTTCGCAGAGGTTCAGCCAGCATACTATCCAGCTACTGAAGGTATGTGAATTGGCTTCTCCAAGTGGAAAAACCTAAGGTAGCGAGTGACTCTAAGCGTTGTGCATCACCGATACCAGCCATCGTTCTGGAAGAAGGAGGACACGCCTGTTCGGAAGAAGCTGTCACTGCCAGGTTTACCAAGCTCAATATAACTGAAAGTTTTGCATCTGAGATTCACAGCACGAGTAATCAGCTTACTTTGCCAAAAGACAAGACAAAACATCAGAGGACATCCTCAACATCGCGCGATGGAGATTACAAGTCGTGTTCAGAATATGAGACCAATACGGGTCATTTGCGCATCTNGTTTGTGTTAATAATTAATACTTTATTATTTAATAGAGAGGCCAGTTAGCGCCCTGGGTCATTGGGTAATAGGCACTTGTGTTATTAATATTACAATTTTTAATTTTCGCGTGACTTTGGCAATGCCCTTTCACTGCTGTGCTGTCTGCTTGACGGAATATTCTCACTAGATCGTATAGCTATATAAACGATCTAGGGAAAAAGTTCCGATATTGAATCCGCCTAACCCAAAACCCAACACTGATACAGACGCGACAGCACGACACATTATTACTATTGGTTTTGAATGGGACGGTGTGAAACTGTCACGTCTATGTGAACAATCTCATAGCATCGCGCTGAAAGCACAAAGGTAGAGAACGACACGAAAATGTCTGATTGGAAATTTTATTGGGCTGCCCAAGTTAGACGTGTGGCGTGTGGCCCAACACAGGCAGCCTAGCTTGGGCACAGGTTGGCTTGTAATGGGGCGCAGACTTGGGCACATGCTTCTCCCCATCCACCAACCGATTTCGTCTGCACAGCTATGTACTATGGTATCATAGACCACCTACACCCTAGCCTGCAAAGTGTTTTGTATACAAAAATAAAAAATGAAAGGTCGTATATTTTCAACTGCTTCGACCACCTATGCATAAAGTTCTAATTGCTTCTGTCTCAAAATAGCAACAAAAAAAAATTTTTAAGAAGAAAAAATTACAGAAAAAAATTTTTTTTTTGCTATTTTGAGATCGACAGAAGCAATTAAAATTTTATGCATAGGTGGTCGAAGCAATGGAAAATATACGACCGTTTATTTTTTATTTTTGTATACACAACACTTTGCAGGCTAGGGTGTAGGGTTGATTCAGGACTTCTGAATCCTACAGTTAATTTAATCTTATGTAGGACTCGAGTAACTCGACCAATAACGTAACGGCCAGACAAAGACAGATACCCCATTACCATTACGTAGCGAATTCTGCTGTCGCATATCACTATCACGTCCCCTTTTTTCCTCTACTCCAGAGAATATAGAAACAAGTCCCTTTATGTATAGAAGGATTAGAAGGTCGGGCGTCGGCGTCGGGCAAAGTCTAAACTTGCTTTCACTTTTAAAGTTAATACTGTATCCACGAGGGAGATGGCGTTAGGGTCGTACGTTTACTTTAAACAGTCGACGCTAATCAGCGTTGGGTTAGGCGGATTCAATATCGGAACTTTTTCCCTAGATCGTATATATAGCTATACGATCTAGGAAGGATGTTCCGTCGAGCAGACAGCACAGCAGTGAAGGGGCATTACCAAAGACGCATGAAAATTAAAAATTGTAATATTATAACACAAGTGCCTATCACTCAATGACCCGGGGCGCTAACTGTCCACTCTGTTAAATGAATAATTATTAATAAATAACACAAGCGCCTGTCACCTCATGACCCGGGGCGCTAACTGGCCACACTGTTAAATAAATACTTATTAATAACACAAGCACCTATCACCGTATAACCTGGGGCGATAATTGCAAATCTAGTAAATAAATAATTATTAATAAATATGTCAAGCACCTTTTTCCTGATGATCCAGGGCACTTATTTGCAACACTATTAAATGATAAAAAGTTGATCGATAACATATGTAAACATATCACAATTTTGATTGCCTATCCAGTACGACAAAGATCTTTTTAAATAGCGCTCTTGTAATTCCTTGATAATTTATTATTCAATAGTAGCCAGTAAGCACCCCGGATCATGAGGTGATAGGAGCTTGTGTTATTAAAAATTATTTATTTAACAGAGTGGCCAGTTATCGCCCCGGGTCATTGGGTGATAGGCGCTTGTGTTTTTAATATTACAATGTTAAATTTCCGCGTATGCCTTTGGCAATGCCCCTTTACTGCTGTGCTGTCTGCTCGACGGAACATTCTCCCTAGATCGTATAGCTATATATACGATCTAGGGAAAAAGTTCCGATATTGAATCCGCCTAAACCAACGCTGACGCTAATGCCATCTTTCTCATGGGTACAGTACTAACATTATAAGCGAAAACCGTAGAGATAATTGTAATAGAGGAAGCGAACATGCCTTAACCGCATACAGATGCTAGACAGAGAAAAAAGATTGTGTTGGTCTTGCATCTCTCTCTGCTCTTATCCTGATTAGCTATTTAAAATGCCCTCTTCTCAGAAGAATGTTCTGCCTCTAACGCAATATATACAGCTCTACTATAAATACTATACTACGACTATATACAGCAGCCAATAATGCAGAGAGCAGAGAGGGATGCAAGACCAAAACATTCGTCTTCCTCTGTCACTGACCGTGACCGTACGCTTCCACTTACAGAAGAATATACAGTTCGCTTCCTCTATTACACTATCTCTATGGTGAAAACACGTCTAGTCCTAGCTCCTAGCCTGACCTTCTATACATAAAGGGAGCCGTTTCTATATTCTCTGTCGATTCGTATACCTCTATATGGTACGCATTACTTAAAATCTATTATCCAACGAATAGGAAGACAAGTACTCACGAATCTTTCGATTAGCCTATAACGTCAATTTCAATACTGAAACTGAATAATAATGGTGGAAGAAACGAAGGTTAAAATGGAATTGGACCATGATACTCAGGATAACCTCGATCGATCAATAGTAAAAGAAACTAGCCATGAGGAGAAACTTCTAATTGCAAATGCCATTGCTCAGCCTATGGCTCCAAAGAAGTTAGCAAAAAAAATTTACAAATGTGTAAAAAGAGGTACAGTAGTAAACATATTGTATTTAACTGTTGTTTTGTTTAACTTTTAAAAAGTAATGCTTGTAATTATTCCTCAATAGCATCGAAGAATAAAGGTTGTCTTCGAAATGGATTAAAAGATGTTCAGAAACATATTCGAAAAGGAGAAACTGGGTAGGAATTGCACGATCTCTTTGTTTAAATTCACAGTTAACTAACATTTATTTGTTCAAATGCATGCTGTTTGTACTTGGACTAGAATTGAATTTTTTTTTGCTTAAAGCTAATATAAATTTTCGTCATTTAAAACTGTCGCCGTACGTCACTATTTTTTTTCTTTCAATTTTCATGTGCTGATATAACTCATTAATTTTGAATAAGGGAGAGATTTTACAGAAGTTTGACAAAAATTTTTTTTTTTGCATTTCATTTTCATCTATATCGGTAAAACGTGAGTGTGAGGCATATAATTACAATTCCTTTTTTTTTTAGAATTGTAGTTTTTGCTGGTGATGTAAATCCAATTGAAATCATGTGTCACTTACCAGTTGTTTGTGAAAACAAAAATATTCCATACTGCTACACACCATCAAGGCAAGATATAGGAGCAGCTCTTGGTGTAAAGCGGGGAAGTTTGATGGTTCTTATTAAAAAACATTCAGATTACAAAGATTTATATGAAGAAATTAAAAGTGCTATGGAAGTTCTTTCTTCACCGTTGTAATGTACCTAATTTTATCATTTTTTTTTTCTTTTTAAAAGTTTCTGCTTTAACATCATTCCAACTAGTATGCTGAAAAAATTTTCATATGTTGTAATAGCACTTATTATCATGTCAAACAATTAATACTGTTGATAAAAGGAGAAACTTTGAGAATAAACTATTTTCTTATGAGGCCTTTTGTATATTATTAATTTGCATGTAAAAACTTGTAGCTAATATTAACAGTATGTTATGCCTTGATGGTAATAAGAACAAGAGAATTATTATGCATCAGGATTGAGCCAGGTATGAAGAACTGATACTTTCAACTGCTGGAGTGATTTTAGAGGAATATATACGGATTATAAGAATAATAAATATTGATTAGTTTATTACAAAATAGAATATTTTCTGAAGATGTTGATTAAGCTAATCTTAAAACATGTGATGTAGTTGTATTACTACCCATGCTAAGAGCTCTGATAGTCGCTGGATGCTGGTGCAGTATTTACTGGGGTTGACCAGAGTAGAGACATGACATCCTTTTATTTCTGTAATTTGCTACTTTTTTATCAAGGTAGTTGCTACCCAGGCTGTCTGCTAGGTTTTAGCAAATTCCAATCTTCATTATAGTTCTTTTTCTTCTAAATTATTTCGGCTCCTCCAATACTCCTTACAATTCACTACAAAACTTTTCTTCTCTTCCTGGAAAGTTATAGACCAAAAGCTGAGGCCCAAGGGTAGAAGAAAATCTACACCAGCCACTGCTTTCACTATTACCAAACACCCTTGTGATTAATGAAAATCAAAAATATTTTTGTCATATTTAATTCTGGTAAAGTTGTGTTATAATTAAAGTAGTGCCATGTGGTCGATTTTATAAACTAGCCGCATCTTAGTCTATTGGATGGAAAACAAAGCGTTTCAGTCAAAATGTGCTACTTGTAGCGGAATTACAATTAATTTTCTACCCAAAAATCGACTTTCAAAATTGTGGAACCTCACAAAAGCAAATCACATTGCACTGCCTTGTCTGTCCACAAGTTTAGAAAGCATTTGTGTAATACAAAGCATATTGACATCAAGAAACTGGGAAACAATATATATTTTTTACTTCAATATTCTCATTCCAGTTGTTTCAGTGGCCAATTGTCCAATTCGGCAATATTTACACAGAGAAAACTGACTAATTGTGAACAATGACTAGTGATTATTTGCGTGATTTAGAACGTGACTTGTTACAATTCGATAACGTCACGTAATAAATAACATAATTTTGCGGTTGCGGTTAAGGCATGTTCGCTTCCTCTATTACAATTATCTCTACGGTTTTCGCTTATAATGTTAGTACTGTACCCATGAGAAAGATGGCATTAGCGTCAGCGTTGGTTTAGGCGGATTCAATATCGGAACTTTTTCCCTAGATCGTATATATAGCTATACGATCTAGGGAGAATGTTCCGTCGAGCAGACAGCACAGCAGTAAAGGGGCATTGCCAAAGGCATACGCGGAAATTTAACATTGTAATATTAAAAACACAAGCGCCTATCACCCAATGACCCGGGGCGATAACTGGCCACTCTGTTAAATAAATAATTTTTAATAACACAAGCTCCTATCACCTCATGATCCGGGGTGCTTACTGGCTACTATTGAATAATAAATTATCAAGGAATTACAAGAGCGCTATTTAAAAAGATCTTTGTCGTACTGGATAGGCAATCAAAATTGTGATATGTTTACATATGTTATCGATCAACTTTTTATCATTTAATAGTGTTGCAAATAAGTGCCCTGGATCATCAGGAAAAAGGTGCTTGACATATTTATTAATAATTATTTATTTACTAGATTTGCAATTATCGCCCCAGGTTATACGGTGATAGGTGCTTGTGTTATTAATAAGTATTTATTTAACAGTGTGGCCAGTTAGCGCCCCGGGTCATGAGGTGACAGGCGCTTGTGTTATTTATTAATAATTATTCATTTAACAGAGTGGACAGTTAGCGCCCCGGGTCATTGAGTGATAGGCACTTGTGTTATAATATTACAATTTTTAATTTTCATGCGTCTTTGGTAATGCCCCTTCACTGCTGTGCTGTCTGCTCGACGGAACATCCTTCCTAGATCGTATAGCTATATATACGATCTAGGGAAAAAGTTCCGATATTGAATCCGCCTAACCCAACGCTGATTAGCGTCGACTGTTTAAAGTAAACGTACGACCCTAACGCCATCTCCCTCGTGGATACAGTATTAACTTTAAAAGTGAAAGCAAGTTTAGACTTTGCCCGACGCCGACGCCCGACCTTCTAATCCTTCTATACATAAAGGGACTTGTTTCTATATTCTCTGGAGTAGAGGAAAAAAGGGGACGTGATAGTGATATGCGACAGCAGAATTCGCTACGTAATGGTAATGGGGTATCTGTCTTTGTCTGGCCGTTACGTTATTGGTCGAGTTACTCGAGTCCTACATAAGATTAAATTAACTGTAGGATTCAGAAGTCCTGAATCAACCCTACACCCTAGCCTGCAAAGTGTTGTGTATACAAAAATAAAAAATAAACGGTCGTATATTTTCCATTGCTTCGACCACCTATGCATAAAATTTTAATTGCTTCTGTCGATCTCAAAATAGCAAAAAAAAAATTTTTTTCTGTAATTTTTTCTTCTTAAAAATTTTTTTTTGTTGCTATTTTGAGACAGAAGCAATTAGAACTTTATGCATAGGTGGTCGAAGCAGTTGAAAATATACGACCTTTCATTTTTTATTTTTGTATACAAAACACTTTGCAGGCTAGGGTGTAGGTGGTCTATGATACCATAGTACATAGCTGTGCAGACGAAATCGGTTGGTGGATGGGGAGAAGCATGTGCCCAAGTCTGCGCCCCATTACAAGCCAACCTGTGCCCAAGCTAGGCTGCCTGTGTTGGGCCACACGCCACACGTCTAACTTGGGCAGCCCAATAAAATTTCCAATCAGACATTTTCGTGTCGTTCTCTACCTTTGTGCTTTCAGCGCGATGCTATGAGATTGTTCACATAGACGTGACAGTTTCACACCGTCCCATTCAAAACCAATAGTAATAATGTGTCGTGCTGTCGCGTCTGTATCAGTGTTGGGTTTTGGGTTAGGCGGATTCAATATCGGAACTTTTTCCCTAGATCGTTTATATAGCTATACGATCTAGTGAGAATATTCCGTCAAGCAGACAGCACAGCAGTGAAAGGGCATTGCCAAAGTCACGCGAAAATTAAAAATTGTAATATTAATAACACAAGTGCCTATTACCCAATGACCCAGGGCGCTAACTGGCCTCTCTATTAAATAATAAAGTATTAATTATTAACACAAGCGCCTATCACCCGATGACCCGAAGTGCTTACTGGCCACTCTGTGAAATAATAAAATATTAATTAATAGCACAAATGCCTATCGCCCAATGACCCGGGGTGCTAACTGGCCACTCTATTGAATAAATGAAATTTTAATTTTTAACACAAGCACCACACACCCGATGACCCAGGGTGCTTACTGGTCGCTTTATTAAACGATATATATTATTAGTTAATAGCACAACGGTCATCAGGAGATAGGTGCTTGTGCTATTAATTAATACTTCATTATTTAATAAAGCGACCAGCAAGCGCCCCGGGACATTGGGTGATAGGTGCTTGTATTAAGAATTAATACTTCATTATTTAATAGAGAGGTCATCCTACTGAAAATATTCAGGTGACTTGTCATGTTATTTGTCAGGTGACATGTCGGTCAAAAGCCGTGCCAATTTACCATATAAGAGTGTCATATGTAGAATTGTCATGTGAAAGTATCATGTGGATTTTTATAACCTAGATTTTCGGCAATTTAAAAGTGAAAAAGTAAAACTTGTACTTCTAACTGCTTAAAAGCTGTGAGAATAGTTTATATTATTAGTAAAAAAAAGCATTCAGTAAACGGATTCGAACGTGGTCCGGATCAATGGTATCCGGATCATTGATCATCCGAATGTCTTTACCACTGAGCCAGAATGGATCAGACACTTGGGACAGAATCTACGTCCTTATCAGGTACATCTAAATTTAATGTTTATTTTATGATTTCGTGAATAACATTTACCGCCTTAGTTACCTACTTGATAATTAACTTTTTGTAAATGTGCATTTTACATTGTTTCGTGTCTCTTAATACGTTCGTCAACAGTAAATCTAGTAATTGATTTTACAACTTCTTTTTGTTCACAGATTCTACTTAAACTTTACAGATACGTACTTCACTTCCCAAGGAAAAAAGTCTATTTTTAAAAATGTTATAAATTTGTTATAACTGCTACAACAAAGTTGTGTATTACATTTTCCTCTTGAATACTTCAATGTGCGTATCGAATACAAACAAAAATGTATTTAAGATAATGCTTTTAACAATTTCCAATCCTAGTTAAGATAACAATTTCCATATTTTTATTTGAATCTAATAGTTTTCGAAAAAACCTTTTTTTATGTATACGCTTACGTTGCAGGAATTTGTATAATTTATCTGAGTACTGTACAAATGAGTGAAAAATTATTTTTTTTTGCTTGTATTCGATACACACATTAAAGTATTCAAAAAGAACAGATAATCCACATCTGTGTTGTAGCAATTACAACAAATTTATTACACTTTTATAAATAGCTAGACTATTTTCCTTTAGAATCAAAAGTATATGTAAAGTTTAAGTTTTAGTTTAAGTAAAATCCGTGAACGAAAAGTAGTTGTAAGATCAATTACTAAATTTACTGTTGATGAACATATTAAGAGACACGAAACAATATAAAATGTACATTTACAAAAAGTTAATCATCAATTAGATAACTTAGGCAGTAAATGTTATTCACGAAATCATAAAATAAATATTAGTTTTAGATGTACGTGATAAGGACGTAAATTATGTCCCAAATGTCTAATCCATTCTGGCCAAGTGGTAAAGACACTCGGCTACCAATGATCCGGACCAGGTTCATAATAACCCTTTACTGGATGCTTTTTTTTTTTACTATTTATATAAGCTATTTTCACAGCTTTTAAATAGTTAGAAGTACAAGTTTCACTTTCTCATTTTTGAACCACCGAAAATCTAGCTTATAAAAATCCACATGACAATTGTACATGACACTTATATATGGTAAATTGGCACGGCTTTTGACCTGACAAGTAACATTACAAGTCACCTGAATATTTTCAGTAGGGCAGTTAGCACCCTGGGTCATTAGGTGATAGGCATTTGTGTTATTAATATTATAATTTTTAATTTTCGCGCGTCTTTGGCAATGCCCCTTCACTGCTGTGCTGTCTGCTCGACGGAACATTCTCACTAGATCGTATAGCTTATACATATACGATCTAGGGAAAAAGTTCTGATATTGAATCCGCCTAACCCAACGAT